TTACCTAAGCTTCAAAGCTTCAGAAAGCGACCATTTTGCAATGGTGACTGTAACACGCTGTCAAAGATCGTTTTTTTATCTAGTTTTTCATTCATCTTTGTTGCTTAGATTTCACACGCCGGCTTTCTTACAGTCGGCTTGTCTTCTAAGTGCGGATTACAGCGTGGAGTTGTGCTCTCACAGGCCAACATTTCATGGTCTGGACCTTTAGTGCAGGTCGTGCCACATTGAAACTTAGGAGTCATTATTGACTCTCTTTGCGGCCACATTTCACATAAGTCATTTACTGGAACATTTTTTTATCCTGAATTTCTGTTAATACCACATGCTCAGTGAGAAAATTACTTAACCAGCCTTTTTAGTAGATGCAAAGATAAATTTTGGTTAAGCTGCAATATACCTTACCACCCATGGCGTTACATGTCACTGAATACGAATAGAATAAACCATTTTTAGCCAGTAGTGAAAATAGGACTTTTTTGTTGCCATTAGAAAATCAAACACTGCTGTTGTCTGGAAATTCAATTTGACGGCCTCTTTAAATGAAATTATACTTTCATGTTTTCATAGCTAAACCAATAAAAGTCACAAACATCTAATGCCTAACCTGAAACTGCAGTTTGTCGTTAACAAGGTGCTAAATGTCTATCGTGATTGTTTCCAAACTTTGGGGAGTAATCTATTGAAACTCAGTAACAAAGTGGTTTTTCTTTTATTAAAACATGAATAGAAGCCCAGTGCTTTAATGTTAACTGAAATGTGATTAGTGTTATGTTTTCCAAGTTATGACCAGAATTATTCAGACCTTAACATCTCATGACTTCCTTCAAGCTTGGCAGTCTTCTAGATTCTCTTCATACTTCAAAAAAAAATTACACTTTTTGATTGGCTGAAAATAGCTAGGTGCCTTTTTCATTTATCATTAGTGAAAAAGTAATAACTCATGTACAAAATAATATAAACTAGGCTCAGCAACAATAGATCACATTAGAAACCAATCAGATTTATACAAAGTAGGTTCTGATTGATACATGCAGTAGCTGACAAAAATGAACAAAAGCTTGGATACTTTTATGTATATTGATAAACACTAAAAAATTGCATTCCTGAGTAAGAACTCGGCTGAAGGACAAATTTTGATGGCACAAACTTCATTTAGTCAGTACTGTCAAATTTATCTGCCATCAGTTTGTTGATTTCCAGTAAATGTGTATCTTTCATGTATACATTATGAATAATTAATAACATGATTTCTCATATGATAGGCACCCGTAAATTTTTCAAATACTTTAAACTGCACACACGCTATGAGCTCAACATTTGTTGTTTGTGAAAAAATTTACTTCTGCTTATTTAGAATACCAAAGTACACTTTAATTAACTTAGCTTAGACTTTGTTGAGTTTTTATGAAGACAGTTCAATGGAACTGACATTTGTTACGTTTATAGTTAAAAGTTAGAGCTACTTGATGTGGATTAGATAACCATCAGGTATCCTTGGAGACCCAAGGTTCTAATCACATCTGTAAACCCCTTAAAAGCACAGTCTTAACAGATCAGTTCCAAACTGTCTTGGTCATTCTGAATTTTGATTGATACCAGAAGTTCAATCTTGTTCTGGCAAAGGAGAGGGAAGCAGGTCTCGCAAGTCCTCTTGTGTGCTCTAACACAAAGTAATACATGAAATTCAGTTGCTTAACATGTTTGTTTTGGACCTTTTTGTACGGTAGATTAGCATTTTGCATGATGATGTGAAGTCGACCATTTGTATGATGATGTCAAGTTCACCCATTCATTTCTCCACATAACATGAATTTGGTAGACTCGCTGGCATGAAATTACAGTGTCAACAATAAGAAAACTTGAAAGCTTCTGGTAGTTTAAATCATATGATACCATCATGAACTTGCCTGTAAATTGAACTCTGCTGTGTTTAAGTTATGTCTCTGATTACTGTTCCTGAAATCTATTATGGTGACACTCTATCTCCCTTGAACTTTCTGTTAAATAAAACCTCCAGGTTAAATTGTAAATCTTATTGGGTTAAAAATTATTAGCAACGTTAATGTAATGTTCAGAGTACTTAGCTCAACATATGATTCATTAAAGTATTGCTTGTGCTCTGATCTTGTAATGCACCTATCTTTTTTCCCTAGACCTGTGTTCTTTATTGAAAATACAGTCCCACAAAACCCAAATACAATAATTATAGTAAACGTTTTGCTCTCAACCAACTGAAAGTTGAACTTTATGCCCTAATGGAGAAAAGAAACCTACACTCAGCATTGTGTTACTTTACATGTATGTATTGTCCAAAATTAGTCATACATTCAAACCAAATCAAGCTCCCAATGGCTTCTAGTGTAGATTACATCATTTCCCGAATATCCCTGCCCTTCTCCAAAGTTTTGTCCTTGTGTACTGGTCCACAAAATGTCAAAAATATTCATATGAAATTCTTCCCTAGAGTTCATTTCACATCACTTGCCATGGAAAAGACAATCAACCTACAGACTTCAGAAGTCAATTCCACTTCATTACGGAAACATAATCATGACTGAATCAATCAGACCACTATGGGAGATTATGCCGATTTTTTTTCAGTTCCTTAAATCCTCGGGTTACATGTGCAACCTTTGTTGTCAAAATGAGACCTCCATTAAAAAGTTTGGCCAATGACTCTCATCTTTGGAATGAACATTTCAGGACTTTAGTATGCTAGTTATCATGTGTTATTGATGAACAGGATCAATATTGAAAACTATATAATGGTAATCAGATATTAGCTCTTCTGATAGAAACCCAATAAGACACCAGACACTAAAAAGCAGCTCAGTTTTGTAAGCCACACATGTACGCATTGCGGACCTATTTTTTTTTTAAAGATGACAACCAGAGGCAAGATTTCTCTTTGGGATATTGCTCATAAGATAACATTCTTTCAAAGCCTGGCATGTGTCATTTGTGTGAAACATTTGTTGTTGAGAACAGAGCAATCTATTGGTGTGTTCACATTCACTCCCTGGGAAAATTAAATGTATCAAAGTGAAGACAAATGATGTCACTATGTATGGTAGAAGTGCCAATTTGTAATGTATTTATCTTGAGATAGAGAAATAAACATTTCACTCTTTTTTTGCAACATTTTTGTATGAAAATGAGGCCCCAGGCTTCGAACAAGCAGCCATTGTTACCATGGGAACAAGAGTGCTGCAACCTTTCAAAAGGACATTTTTGTACATCCCTCTGAGCGCCTAACTGCATGCAAAATTTGAAGGGGAGTTGAAAATTTTCATTTCCCAAGATGTTTGATTCTTACAGACTTGTTCTTAATTATTCATAGTGTATACATGAAAGATACACATTAACAGGAAATCAACAAACTGATGGCAGATAAATTTGACAGTATAGCCTTAATGAAGCGTGTGCCACCAAAATTTGTCCTTCAGCTGAATTCTTACTCAGGAATGCAATTTTGTTAGTGTTTATCAATATGCATAAAAGTATCCAAGCTTTTGTTTATTTTTGTCAGCTACTGCATGTATCAATCAGAACAACCTACTTTGTGTAAATCTGATTGGTTTCTAATGTGATTTATTGTTGCTGGGCCTAGCTTATATTATTTTGTACACAAGTTATTACTTTTTCACTAATGATAAATGAAAAAGGCACCTAGCTATTTTCAGCCAATCAAAAAAGTGTAATTTTTCATGTATATCAGTATTGTGATGAATTCACCAAAGATAGCAACCAAACAAGTAACTGAAAAGGAGTTTTAGTCTTCTAAATAAAGGCCTAATACACATGTTTTGCTACCAAGTATAGATAAAAAATGCTTATCTGAACCATTATGAAGAGAATTTAAAAGATTGCCAAGCTTGAAGGAAGTCATGAAATGTTAAGGTCTGCATAATTCTGGCCATAACTTGGAAAACATAACACTAATCACATTTCAGTTAACATTAAAGCACTCGGCTCCTATTCCTGTTTTAATACTGAATTCCAATGGATTACTCCCCAAAGTTTGGAATCAATCACAATAGACATTTAGCACCATGTTAATGACAAACCGCAGTTTCAGGTTAGGCATTAGACGTTTTTGACTTTTATTGGTTTAGCTATGTAAACATGAAAGTATACTTTCATTTAAAGAGGCTGTCAAGTTGAATTTCCAGACAACAGCAGTGTTTGATTTTCTAATGGCAACAAAAAAGTCCTATTTTCACTCACTGGCTAAAAATTGTTTATTCTTTTCGTTTTTGATGACATGTAATGCCATGGGTGGCAGGGTATTCTGCAGTTTCACCAAAATTTTATCATAGCATGTAATAAAAAGACTGGATACCGGTAAGTAATTTTATTACTGAGCATGTGGTATAAACAGAAATTCAGGATAAAAAACATTGTGGTAAATGACTTATGTGAAATGTGATGGCACAGAGAGTCAATAACTCCCAAATTTCAATGTGGCACAACCTGCACTAAAGGTCCAGACTGTGAAATGTTGGCCTGGAGAGCACAACTCCACGCTGTAATCTGCACTTAGAAGACAAGCCGACTGTAGGAAAGCTGGCATGTGAAATCTAAGCAACAAAGATGAACAAAAAAATAGAAAAAAAAACAATATTCGACAGCGTGTTACAGCCACCATTGCAAAATGGTCGCTTTCTGAAGCTTTGAAGCTTAGGTAACTTAGCCGGCGTGAGACTGGAACCTATCTTCGACGATAGTAAACTACGTGACAAGCACTCGGTTCACTGTGACAAATCCAGCCAGGAATAAATATCTTGGATCATGACATAGCGTGGTTTACAGTTCGTGTAAGCCACACAAAATCAGTTACAAGATAAACCAATAATTGCATAGACACTTGGGCAAATGCTAGCCCAAAAAACAAAGTTTATTTCCAACAGAAAGCCCGGGTGAACGCAATTATGCGTCTAGATTCATTCTGATATTGACATTGGTTTAACAGTCTCTTCTCTCTACATTCTGCTGATTCATTTGCAATTTTTTGTCTTTGATACTGAGATTGGGTTGCCAGCCTCTTTTTTTCTTGATTCAGAAGATTCAATCGCAAGTTTCTTTTCCCTGTTCAGATGCTGCTGGGCCAGCCTCTTTTCCCTAGATTCCTCACTTTCATTTACCCTTCTTCATTTCTCATATTCATGTCTAGCAATCAATTGTTTTTCTTTTTTTTCTAGCATTTCAGTTTAAGACTTTTGCTTCCTTTTCATGTGTTGTGTTTGGTTTCTTTTATTTCTGAAAGGCAAGTGATCAATTTTTGGACTCGTGAACACTTTGCAATTCAAGTTCATTATCTCTGACAAAGACACCTTTAATTTCAAAAGGAACAACCCCTATTTGTAAGCAAGAAATTTTCAAATATGATACAAGGTTTTCAATTCCATCAGTGGTAAGCAAAGTACATTTCCCAAATGAGCGGAGCATTCCATGCAAATCCCTGGAATGAGCATAAAAAATTTTAAAGCTTTATTGTGAATTCTTAATCACTGCAACAGTATTAATTCCAATCGTTAACAAACAACAACTGTAGTTATGTTGACAATTTGAAAACACTTCTGTCGGATAATTTTGAAGAGACATGTATGGCCCATTATTTGATGTCATGAACAAACTTCCTGTTGATGACTCACTATTCTAATGTGTATACTTTACTGAAAATTGAAACAATGCATGGAACATCAGTTAAAAGCAAATAATCATTTGTCTGGACAGAACATCTTATAGAAGTATACAAATTGTTTCCAATGGTAAGAATATTATTCAAAGTGGTAGAAGTCCACAAATTGATATCTTCTATGTGATGATAAATAATAGCAGTAAGTGACATTGCTACACATTGCTTACCAGCATTTTCACCAAAGAGTGCTTCATTTCCTTGACTATAGTCAGCACATATAGTTCTTGTTGGATCGATGACATCAAATTTTGTAGAGCCTGGATTTTCCTGTACATCATTTGCCTGCCTTATAAGCAACGGAATATAGGCATTGTAGAAAATCATTTGTGAAAACCAAAACATCACATCATTCCACATTTTGTGTTGTCCAACAACTTGTTTCAATACTGGTAAGTAAAATATATTTAAATAGAACATCACAAACATTAAACTCCAAAATGATCATTTAAATGTGATAAGATATCGTTTGTTTCACGAAATTGTTATGAGAGCCAACACTTGACCGGTATTGTTCAATCGAGATTCCTATACTTACTTTTTTCGTTCTGAGATATGCCTCCGTGAATTCTCAACAGTGCAAGGAGAAAGCAACTGCAATACACCTTATTTCACTTTCTGGCACTTCCAGGTGGCTTCAGACACTTTAAAACACTTTCAAACACTTTCAGACACTCGGTGGTGCAACCCGCACCGATAGATCAAGCCGATAATTGTTGGCTTGCGAAAGTGCAATGACTCCTTTCAGTGTGGTACAACCCGTACCGAAGATTCAACCTGTTAAATATTGTCTTTTAAGAGGGTAAAAGCTCTTGCACAAGCTGCACTTATAACACAAGCCGGGTCTGCGTGTGTTGGCTTGTGTGAGGAGAACTAACTCGTGATACGATCGCCTGGAAAAAATTACTCGAGACCACGCTTACAATCAAGATGGCTGACTCAGACTAGTGCCCCGTACGATACGGTCAGCATTAGATTCCATCCACCAAAACCACCTCGGTCGAGAGGGACTGAGATGGAATATTTAATGACTTGCAAAACATAACCGAAGAATTCTCGGAAATCCGCAAGTGATGTAGCCGAACATCAGAAGCTGTAAATCCCATGATTCTTGAGGAACAAATAGAAACAGCATAGCGAGAATTTTAAGTCGCGAACCATTGATGGTAGACATGCAGATAATTTAGGATACGTAAATTCTGTTGATGAGGCGCATAAACTTATTGCGGAATTTGAAACAGGATTGACGACGAAGTTTTCTTTCTTTAAAGCTGTCAAAGGTTTCGGGAACATATATTTATATATATTGATATAGCTCTTTAGCATTACAAAGCTTTGCTATCGCTATTGTGCATTCTCACTAGTTTATCTAGTTCAAGTCCTCTGGCATGGCTTGGATGATGTCACAATTGTGGAATCATTCGGGTTAATTTAATGCTTACACCTCCTTCCTCGAACAGAAGTCACAAAATACTGGGGGAAGATGCATGAGATATTTAAGGAGCAAAAATTCGTTTTTTACTGGTGTGCCTTTCCTAATTTTGGGAAGGAAAGTGTTCAATTGCCAGCACGGCATTGATAGAACAGCTGAGAGAAAAGGAAACGAAAAGATGCAGAAGAAGTACTGTATATAATAATTTCTTTTTATCCTCAACCTTTGTGTTTCTGTCAACTATGGCTTGCTAATTGAAAGGTCAAATACATGAATGGGTCATATGACATTGGTCTCAGAATACTTTTATGACAAACGTGATAACAGTTCAATCTTGGCTAAATTGAAGATGGTTTAGAAGTTAACAATTATAAGAACTTTTCACTAACATATGCTGCTGACAAAGGGAGAAAATATATGCAATTCTGCATTTTTTGCTTTCTATCAAGCAATCATATGTTTGCTCTTTATCACGCTATGACACTTCCGTTTTGTCACATTCAAAAAATAACTTGAGAAATACACTGTCACTCATCTTACACTGTTATATTTACCTATTACAGAAGGCTGGAAACAAAGATTTTGTTTTCAAGAAAATAAGATTTCTTGTCCAAGACACAAGGAAGTTTGACTCATGAAGCACAGATAAAAAATGCGAGAAATTTTATTTTTTTCAGAGAACAAGGTAGTTCTACTCATGTATAAACAGAACAAATGCGATTTAATAAATCAGATATGCGGCATGACTCCTTTTCTTCCATCCCCACTCAAAACAAGCAAACACACCTATATAGGTTCCAGTCTGGTCTGCAAATGAAAAGGAGGAAGGTGATTACTGCAAAATTAAGCATTAGGGTTCTTATTTATAACATATTGATTATTGTATACTGATATCTAGAAATTTATCAAGTCCATTACTTTGTTAAATTTAGAGTAAACTTGTCTTGAGAGAGGAAAATTGAGGAGCTGTAATATACTTATCATCAATTAGGGACCACAAAGAAAAATTTATTTATAGAGACTTTTTGAAGGAGAGGGTAAGACTTGTGGCAAGCTGGCAGACATATAGATAAACTTTACTGCTAGATGGGTTACAATACAAAGTGCTCAGTATTTGGATCAGCTATGGCTCAACTTAAACTTTGCTTTAGCTTCAAGTTTAATCCTTTGTGGTTTCCTTTCTCTGTGTTTATTTTTTCAAGTTATGTACACAGAAGAACACAAAAATGACAAGGAATGCTTTTTGAATATTAAGAGGCTGGAATAAGCAAGAAACCAAAACTGAATTTTAAACAGTACAAAGTTAATTTGATCTTCCAATGTTATTCAATTTTAACCATTAATAGAATTTGCTATTTAAATTTATCCCCTCCATTTTTCTGGATATTGTGAGCAAAAACAAACAATTATCACAAAATGCATGGTATACAATGGTTTGATTCACCAATGTGGCAAAGGCCTTTCACTGTCTATCCATAGAAGGGAAATAGTTTGTAAAATGAAAGACATTCTGCATCTTGAGCATATACTTATTCATCCATGTGAAATTAAAGGTTACTTGAAATAAATGTGAAAGATTTATAGGATTTTCAGACCCTGATAACAATTACTAATGTGCTGATTTGTTGTACTTAAAGGTTATGATTTTAGCGGAAAAAGTGGAAGAAATTTCTGGACCTGGAATTTTGTTGCAAATGTCTGTTTAAATCAGTTTAAGTCAGTTAAAAACTCTCCCGTTTCAAGATTACATGATTACCACACCAGAACCTTTTGTATTCTATATTGTGCACCATGTTATGATTATGGTTTCAATAATAAAAGGTGCTGACTCAAGAACTTTGCAAAATATCTCTACATACAAAGAAATAGATTGTGGTTATGTACTCCAAATAGCAGGTCACATCAGTCTTCTGTAAGGAAGTAGCAGAATTGCTATGGTGGTTTCGGTGGATGGAGAAACATCCACCAAAACCACTTTATTCTATGTGTTAAGAGTTATGATAATCATTATGAACGTTTGGTCGGCCAGCAATTGTGCACCATAAAAATAATTAGCCAGAGCACTAACTGCTAATTAGTGGTATAAATCTTTTGTCTCCCTGAACATCTAATAGTGGCTATAGATAAAATTAAAAAAATATATTGTTGATGGTTTTAGTCAAAGTTTTGGTGGATGTTCCCCAATGACATCCACCAAAACTACGTAACATCTGGGCACCTTTTAAATACGTGAAATATCTGCATAAAATTGCGTAAAATGTTTTATAATACTACAATCGAACAATAAATTAATACTTACCATTTCTTGAGTAAAAAGTTTTGACGCAATTTCCCAAATAAATGATACACTTAGGTCATCGGGATAAGTCGGCATGCTGTCGTAGCTTCGTAATTTTCAATTAGTATAACGACTCATGAGTTGTCCATCATTCCATCTCAGTCCCTCTCGACCAAGGTGGTTTTGGTGGATGGAATCTAATGCTGACCGTACGATACAATGATACTAGACCACGTGACAGGCGCTCGACTCTCGTGGACAAGTAAATAAAGCCGATCGTGCCATAATGTGGCTACACAGGTTGTGTAAGCCACACAAAAATTAGGGCAATAGTAGGGAGCCTCAGAAGATCATATTAGTAAATGTAGCACGAAGGATAAACAAATTTAAATGTTTTAGAGGTGTAGGGAGGAAAACTTTGATTTAAAAATAACGTTGAACATCAAGAAAGAAGTTTTTTCGTCTTGTCTTTTCGTCTTGTGAACGAATGAATATTTCCTTTTTCTGTAACCACCATAAAACGCTCTCTCGTCTTGAATTAAACTTTAAACGGAGAATTAGCGTACTGGAGCTAAGCTTTGAAAATTATACCCCCAGCTGAGATGGGAACTATTTGGTCACGTAATGCATTTAGACCAGCCATTCATGCGCGAGCAAAAATATTGGATGGACCAGACGCTGAATTGTACATTCCACATGATTGGTTGTGATGATCAGATGTCTACACTATAGACACCATTAACAACATTTTGCTTTTTTGGACATGAAGACAACAGATGGGACAGTGCCAGAAGACACCCAAAATTGTTGAAATCGTATGACTGCATTTAAAGTTATTCATTCAACCTTGTGTTTCTGTAATGTCAGAATATTATTTAATGTTTTTTCCTTTCGGTCACAAGTCTAAAAAGCTGAGTTTAGGTTTAAAGCTCGAGTAAGTTTCTCCGGAATTTGCACGTGCCGCGGTTGTTCAAATCCATTTGGACAACGTCAATCCGGTGAACTTTTGGAGAAATTCAGATAAACGTTATCCCAGTTTTACCCGACAACAAAAATGACCGAAACTGTAGCGAGATAAATAATCTACTGGTGTGTTCACATTCATTCCCTGGGAAAATTGAATAAACCAATCTGAAGACGAATGATGTCACTATGCATGGTAGAAGTGCCAATTCAATTTGTAATGTTGTATTTAGCTTCAGATAGAGAAATAAGCATTTCACTCTTTTTTTGCGACGTTTTTTTTGACAATGAGGCCCCAGACCTCGAACAAGCAGTCGTTGTTACCATGGCAACAAGAGTGCTGCGACCTTTAAGAAGGGCATTTTTGTGCATCCCCCCTGGGCGCCTAACTGCATGCAAAATTTGAAGGGGGCTTGAAAATTTTCATTTCCCAAGATGTTTGATTCTTACAGAGACTTGTTCTTAATAACATGATTTCTCATATGATAAGCACTTGTAAATTTTTTAAATACTTTAAACTGCACACACGCTATGAGCTCAACATTTGTTGTTTGTGAAAAATTTACTTCTGCTTATTTAGAATACCAAAGTACACTTAAATTAACTTAACTTAAACTTTGTCGAGTTTTTATAAAGACAGTTCAATGGAACTGACATTTGTTACGTCTATAGTTAAAAGTTAGAGCTACTTGATGTGGATTGGATAACCATCAGGTATCCTCGGAGACCCAGGGTTCTTATCACATCTGTAGACCCCTTAAAAGCAAAGTCTTAACAGATCAGTTCCAAACTGTCACAGTCATTCTGAATTTTGATTGGTACCTGGAATTCAATCTTCTTCTGGCAAATGAGAGTGAAGCAGGTCTCACAAGTCCTCTTGTGTGCTCTAACACAAAGTGATACGTGAAGTTCAGTTTCTTACCATGTTTGTTTTGGACCTTTTTCTATGGTAGATTTACACTTTGCATGATGATGTGAAGTTGACCATTTGCATGATGATGTCAAGTTCACCTATTCATTTCTCCACATAACTTGAATTTGATAGACTCACGGGCGCGAAATTACAATTTCAATAATAAGAAAACTTGAAAGCTTCTGGTAGTTTAAATCATATGATACCATCATGCCCTTCCCTGTACATTGAACTCAGCTGTGTGTAAGTTGTCTCTGATTACTGTTACTGAAATCTATTATGGTGACACTCTATCTCTACTGAACTTTCTGTTAAATAAAACCTCCAGGTTAAATTGTAAATCTTATTGGGTTAAAAATTATTAGCAACGTTAATGTAATGTTATTTCAGAGTATCACCTATCTTTTTTCCCTAGACTCTTCCATTTGCAACCTCATATCTACCTACCTCAACTAAATTTTTCTGTGTTCTTTATTGAAAATAAAGTCCCACAAAACCTAAATACAATAATTATAGTAAACGTTTTGCTCTCAACCAACTGAAAGTTGAACTTTATGCCCTTATGGGAAAAAAGAAACCTACACTCAGCATTGTGTTGCTTTACATATATGTATTGTCCAAAATTAGTCATACATTCAAACCAAATCAAGCTCCCAATGGCTTCTAGTGTAGATTACACCATTTCCCGAATGTCCCTGCCCTTCTGCAAACTTTTGTCCTTTTGTACTGGTACAAAAAATGTAAAAAATATTCATATGAAATTCTTCCCTAGAGTTCATTTTACATCACTTTCCTTGGAAAAGACAATCAACCTACAAACCTCAGGAGTCAATTCCACTTCGTTACGTAAACATAATCGTGACTGAATCTATCAGACCACTAGGAGAGATTATGCTGATGTTTTTTCACTTGCAACCTTTGTTGTCAAAATCAGACCTCCATAAAAAAGTTTGGCCAATAACTCTCATCTTCAGAATGAACATTTCAGGACTTTTGCATGCTAGTTATCTTGTGTTATGGATGAACAGGATCAATATTGAAAACTATCTAATGGTAGTCAGATATTAGCTCTTCTAATAGAAACCCAAATGAGACACCAGACACTAAAAAGCAGCTCAATTTCGTAAGCCACACGTGTACGCATTGCGGACCTATTTTTATTTAACTCTGCAGTGTGTCCCAACCTTTTCATTTTGGAAGATTACACATCCACCTTAAACTTTTCAAAGTTATCATAAAATGATGCAGTGCAGGCGGGTGGGTGTTGAGAATACATAAAAAGATTGGATCAATGTCAGTATCCGAGAAACTGCACACCTACTCCTCCCCACACCCGACATTCACCTCATTAACTCGCTCACTGGGCTTTTTGTTGGGTCAATTGATCCAAAAGTGTGTTTATTTGATAAAAATCTAAATTCTCCAAACTAAAAAGCAATAAAATCTACATGTATTCATATGAAGGAGAGATCAGGGGAAGTAAAGTAACGTCAAAGGGTTAATGTTGAAATGTTCATCTATATGTTATTAGAGTAATAACGCACGTGATTGTAGGGATGTGCACACTCCAACTGGTCAAAAATTGCAGTGTTCACTGCACATTATATCTCCCTGCTCAAACACCATTCATAACTTATTGGTGGGGGAGGGGAGGATCAAATTTTGGTTGTGTCACTATAAAATTTACCTGTTTCCCCTATAAGACTCTTATGACCCCCCCCCCTCCTAATTGGCAGTCAATTTTCGATAAACCCCCCTTTTCACTCTGTTGACCCTGACCAATCCTCTCTGGCTCTGAGAATTTACTGCACAATCAAACTAGTAAAAAATGAACTCACTATAATTTTAACCTATTCCATTGGCCTTTGGCAAATACCCAGTAATTTCTCTTGTTCTGTTTTTTTTCCTGTAGAGGGAAAATATAAATACTTAGTTATTTAGCAGCTCAGAGTCAGTAACTATGAAGAGGGAAGAAATGTGACTCAGGGTTTAAAAATGCTGTTTCCTTGGTTACACTTTTTTACTCAACAGACCTCTCAGCTGGCAAGCAATACACACTATATACTCCAAAAATATGATAACAGATCTAATTGGTAGTGATAATCTTGACCTCTCCATACTACACATGTTTTGGCACTAGCTGAGAGAACCTGCTTTGGCCAACAAGATGACTGCTTACTAGTGAACTTTGCAGAAAGATGAATGTTACCTTTTCAAACCACAACTATTTACCTGAAATTCAAACATTTCTTGGAAGAACTTTTCATACATGGCTGGATCATCTCTTGTTTTCACTTGTTTGCTCTGATTTGAGGAATTAGCCTCAGGCTTTTTACCCTTGTTGCCATTTTCAAGCCCTTCTTTATCATCTTGACTTGCAATACCACTGTCATCTTCTTCTTCCTCTGATTCAAGATCAGTAGACTCACCTTAATACAGAGTAAATACCATGATCATAAGATTACTTCATATATATCTTCATAGAATGAAGTATAACTGCTCATAAGAGACTTAATGATTAGTAATATAGAATCTAAATCTATAAAAATTTAGGAAATCTCAGAAATTTGTGATGGAGTGATAAAAGTTTTTTTGGTGATTACCAAACAATAATAATAATAATAATAATATGAAAGTATTATTTACACTTGTAGAATGCAACCAGAAACAGATAATTATGAAAACTTGATTTACAAGCTTAACAAAAGATAAAAATTTTTCTAGACTAAAAGCAGTCTCTTGAATGTCTCTGTGCAAGATGCCTGTGAGAATGATACAAAATCAACAAGCACACCCCTCTTACCCCAGTAAATTAAGTGGAAACATCCTATTTTTCTTTTTGTGGATTTTTGCCCCAAAAAAAAAAAATTTTATAGCATTTGGAAAAAGAGCTTCTCATCGTTTGGTACGTATCCTGAGTTCCACTAAAGAAATCAGCCCTTTCCTTACTTTACAGGCTGGCTAGATGATTATGGCGGTGATTTACATTTTGACTCCCTAATTATAATGTTTGTTCAGGAGATTATTCAGAGTAACACAATATTTCATTTGCGATGAATCATTACAATTCTGTCAAATATCGGTGTACAATGTAGAGAGCTTTCAGTGGTGAAAGAGTAATTTTATAACCCAATCCTGTCAGTGTGAAGATATCTTCCTTTTTATCCTCCTGAAGGGTCTCCTCCTAGCTGAGCAGCACTGCTCATAGAATACAGCATGTGCCAAGTCATGCAGATTATGCAGGATTCTCTTGGATACAAAGCAAATTTCCCAAATTCAAGTACCTAATTTTGTTTTAATAAAATAATGTCTATTCTAAAAAAAAGTCAAACAACCTTACAGCAAATAATGAGGATTGGGTGTGATTCAACATCAAACCTCTAAAGATTTTCAAAGTTGGCATCTCTGAGTTAGTCTTAACTATACAGTAGAGAGTGTTTCAACCTGGATATTGTAATCACCTTCCCCACTATCATCCAGTAGATCGTCTACAGCTGAGTGGCCAATGCTGTCTAAATCTAACAGAGTAAATGTCAGTGGTGATAATAGGGGTTGACAATGGAAGTTTGTCAGATGGAAAACAACTTTGTAGAATCTGGCTGCTGAGATTGTTTACCCTTTCAAGTTCATGACCTGAAATGGAACAACAAAGAACCCTGTAAAATGTAATCAAAAGCATGTAACAGTGGTAACACCACAGTGCAAATATATGAATTTGATATATCTAAAATCATTATTCATCACTTGGATGGTTTATTTGGACCCAACATATTGACCAGCTCCCTGTTAGCTTGTTAGCTCAGTTGGTAGAGCGCTGCACTGGTATTGCAGAAGTCATGGGTTCAAATCCCGTATGGGCCTGAATTTTTTTCAGGTCCTATTTTCAACTACTAGTTCAGCAGTGTTGTAAGCTGCAAGGATCTCTTAAATTTGTCTCTTCACCACAGTGCAAATATATGAATTTCATATATCTAAAATCATTATTCATCACTTGGATGGTTTATTTGAACCCAACATATTGACCAGCTCCCAGTTGGTTTGTTAGCTCAGTTGGTAGAGCGCTGCACCAGTATCGCAGAGGTCATGGGTTCAAATCCTTTACAGGCCTGAATTTTTTCAGGTCCTATTTTCAACTACTAGTTTAGTAGTGTTCTTAGCTGCGAGGATCTCTTAACTTCGTTTCTTCATCACAGTGCCAATATATGAATTTCATACATCTAAAATCAGTGGTAACACAGTCTAGTCACAGTTCTGTGTAACATCAAAACTTACTTACACTCTAAAGTATCCAGTGACAAAGTGTACAGGGTTTTAATACCATCAGCTTGGATAAATGCCTTCTTACCACTTCCTAAAATCCAGAAATTTAACTCCTTATTCAACCTTATTGATCCTGGCAGTATGTGCATAGGATGCTAGCATACTAATGAGTTCTCTTTAGAACACTCAAATACTGTAGCATGCACAACCAAACAGATAAAATCTACACCTTATTGAGTGATCACCCTGTGTTGAGTGGTTGGTAGTCAAGCTAGGTCCCGAATCTTTTCATTCCCCATGGGTGACCGCTTAATGTAGGTTTGACATGCATGTACAACCAAACAGATAAAATCTGCACCTTATCATTAGTGATCACCTTGTATTAAGCTGTCCGTAGTCAAAGTCCGGAATCTTTTCATTCCCCATAGGTGACTGCTTGATACAGGTTTGACTGTAGCATGGACAACCAAACAAATAAAATCTGCACCTTATTAAGTGATCACCTTGTATTAAGTTGTCGGTAGTCAAAGTCCCAAATCTTTTCATTCTCTACAAGTGGCTGCTTTATGTAGGTAATTGACTGTAGCATACATGACCAAACAAATAACATCTCTCCTTGATATTTCTATTGGTTCACAATTCAAAGCAGCAAGTTGACTATCAGTTTCTTGGAATACAGTTAATTCAGGATAATTTAATTTAGGTCATTTCCTCTTTCAGACGTTGAAACAACTAACTCAAATTAATTTTAAAATGGAGTAGCAATACCAGAGGTCAGCCAGTTCTCTACAGACTACAAAAAAAATGAGAAGCAAGATATCCAAGCAACATTTACAATCAATATTTCTCAAATTTTCTATTTGGTTTACACAGTGTTTTGGCAATTTCAGGGGTGAACAGTTTGTCTTTCAAGAAACAACATCTACCAACTACAGTGTACCTTCTGACATTTTAAAGATTCAATTTATGTAATCAGTAGTCTCCTCTATTAACCCTTTATTCTCCAGGACTAACTAGCATACAATTTCTCTATACATCATCACAACTGGATAAAACATTAAGGTTATGAGAATATGGGAAATAAACACCCCATTCAAGACATCGTTGATTGCTAAAAGAAATTCTCCTTGATCTCCTTGATACTAACTAGTGAAATGTACATAGAGAACAGCATGGAGAATATGTGTTCTCAGGCTGGGGAGTAAAGAGTTAACATACTTGACATGGTGATATTCTTGATCACATTCAGAATAGCTTTTCTGATGTTTCTCTGTCTGATGATGATCTGTTCTTTGCCAATCTCAAAACATTTGTAACAGTACTGGAACAGCTCCATAGCTGACTGTTTTTGATGCACAGCTAGGTCTCTGCGGAAAATCAGCTAAAGGTGATAACTTGTTCTTTTAGCCCTTGCTAAAGTAAACTTTTCTGCTGTATATAAGCTGAGACATGGTAAAGGCAGTTGTTTATACTGTAACATAATTTAAGTGCTATTAAAAGAGGTTGACTGCTTATTAAAGGTTCCATAGAAAAGGGGTATTATAGAAAAAAAAGGTAATAAACACCTTCTCATGCCATAATTGACCACATAATGTACAAAATTTGCTCAAAAATACTTATTAACATTGATTTTGGAAGATAGACATGAATCAAATTTTATTCCAATTTTATTCAACACAGGTGAAGAAAAAATAATCAGGCATTGAGACTCAGTCAAAGGTGACCACAACTGCTCAATGATGGTGGCAATTATGATAACTAAGGGGAAAATTTTGGGGACCTTGAAACTGACCGCTTAAAACTGGGTAACTGCTAAATGGGGTGCCACTTAATACATGTTTGACTGTAGTAAACTATTTTTTGAAAGACACTTTATAGCTCTTCAACTCCAACAAGTGACCAAGACAGAAATTCTCCTTACAAGATTTTTCAAGGTTAGTAACCTGAATATGCCTCTTTAAAGTCAAAAGAACTTTCTAATGTTTTGTAGCAGAGTACTGAGTGTAATCTGTGGTGAGCAGATAGTACCCTCTCCATTGCAATAACTGTGATATCAAACAGCTAATGCTTCAGGACTGTATTACGGGTACATTAATTTATCAATACCTCACTGAATGATTATTATTTTTCAGGTAACTCAGTGTTTGGTGTTTTCAGGGAGCTGTTCTTATAATTACCAATATTTGTTGCAATATATTCTTATCTACATCAAATTCCTATGATGTCTGAAATTGCATAATTCATAAAAATGATTTGCAATATGACAAGATAACTACAATAATAAATCAGGTTATTCATTTACACATGGCTTAACAACAGTGTGGCTTTCGCGTAGAAAGTGCTTAGGGATTACAAATCTAATTACTGTTGTTGCTATTCATTGTGTTTGAACAACTTTGAAGAATGCAAAGAGCAATAGATGTAGATAACTTGAATTGAACTCAAACATTTCTTTATAATGGCATCTGACCTAAATGTTACACGGCTAGCAAACAAAAAAGAAAGCAATTTCAGTTCTTGGAAAAACATGAACCCAATTCTTCAAGGGGCACCGTGACAGTTACCAGAGTGGTTTAGCAAAAGGACGGGAACCTCATTTCAGAACGGCGCGCGCAGCAAAAATACCGATAAAAAAACTGGATCGAGAACGCCGTGGCGTTGTGTTGAAAAGTGATTTAGCAGTCGTGATAACGAGAATCCTTACCTCGGCATTTTAAAGATCACCATCACCTTTGAATTTTCGGTTTTATAGACCACTCCAAGGACAACAAAATTATCTTCTTTAAGAGTTATGTAACAAGCGCAAAGATAGGATAGTCATAGATACGGCAAGTAAGTCGTTAATATAAATCCACATGGGCGATTAAATTTTGAAATTATTCCATTCCAGTTTCCAGTTTAGTCTCGAGTCTGCTGATTCATCTATCAAATTTTGAATCCCAGTAATAATTTTTTTCTATGTTTTGTGTCGCTGTCATTTCGTTTCGTGCTACCAGATTTCAGCACTACTCGTTTTTCTTCATAATTTTATAAAGGATAATTTAGAAAATCGTCGTCGTTTTCCCCCTTGTTTACTAAATATTCTTCTCAATTACGACAGTACATCTCTTTCGAGCACAACCTTCTTATAGTTGCAATGTATTTTGAACGGAATTATCAGGAGTTATGGCGAAACCATGTGGAAACCAAGCGACCCAACAACGGAGTTGTTTACGATGAGTTCCTATTTATCCATGGAAGAATGAAATTGACTCAAACCTGTCATCAACGAAACCGAGAACGAGAACGGCAACGCTACCATCCCCGGGCTGTGACTTAAAGTAGGACGGGGACGTGGGACCCGGGGACGTGGAACCCAGGGAGGTGGAACCCGGGGACGCGGAACCCAGGGAGGTGGAACCCGGGGAGGTGGGACCCGAGGACGTGGTACTCGAGGACGTGGGACTCGAGGACTTGAGACTCGGAAACGTGGGACTCGAGGACGTGAGACTCGGAGACGTGGGACTCGAGGACGTGGGACTCGGGGACGTGGAACTCGAGGAAGTGGAGAGAGCTCCATGTCACACGAAGTTTGGCTGATCAGGAGGGAGTCAATGAGCTCTGAGAAAAGCTCTTGATCACAAGAAATTTATGGGTTGATCAGGGAGTTAATGAGCTCTGATTAGAGCTCCCAATTGCATGAAGTTTGTTTGAATAATTACATACATATAAATAAAGACATACGTCTCCGGGAATTTATCTTTTGTCTTTCTCGAGACGTAAGTTTGAGACCCCAATGTTCAAAGTCCCTAATTGCAAGCGCAACAACAACCTCAAGAAACCTCACCGCAGCACCCCAGGGGGTTATGAAATTGTATGTAAACACGTTTTATTTTTTCGACCATCCCCCACCTTCATGTAAACAGGCCCTAAATGCATAAAATAATCTTTAAAAGGGGGCAGTCAACAGTAAAGTTTTTTTTATTGAAGTGGTTGGCTGTCGTCATCATCCGACGATTGAAGAATTAGATTGATTCGTTTTAGCTTCGTTCTGTAGAAATTGAACCATTTGCACAAGTGCCTAGTGACCTGTTCACAGTGTTTAAAGTTGTGTTGACTTGTCCACCATGGAATACAGCTCCACTGCAATTCTTATGAGAGGTTATCATCATTATTTTAAATTATAAAATAATTCAAATAGTACGCGCGCTCTCATTGGCCATAAAACCATTTTACATGAGCGTATGTAAACACGGTTTTCGATAAGTTGAAATCACTCCGCTTCGCGTCGTGGTTTCCTACGCTTATCTGGTGTTCTCCCAACCTCCCGCGTGTTTACATCAGGCGATGTAAACACGGAAACCATTTTACATTTCTTCAATAATAACGGTTCAACGAAACCGTATTACACAGATATCTTCAAAGCGACATACTCCTCTTAACAGTCCTCTTGGACGAAAATCAAAATACAAAGAGCAAGCAAAAATTAGGTCGTTGGGCAGAACATTTTCCACAAACTGACGGAGTCGCAAACCATCATCCAAGTCGAATTCGAGACACGTTGCTACATTTATCAAAATATTTACACGCGAGAACCGTCTCCTTCGTGCTTCCACAAGGATGTAGCCGATTAAATTCATGAAATCTGTCACGGGTACATCTACACAACGATCAACAATCTGAAAAATAAAGTTAACTCCAGTTATCTCCACAGCCGAAAGCTTCATTTCATGGAATTTAAAATGCCTATAACACGCATTTTTTTGCGTAGCTACTTAGCTTATGACATGTACAAACTAATTCTCTTCAACAAAACTAAAGCTCCTACCATGGATAAAGTGCGTGGTAATATTCACGGATTTTCATTCGCAACTTCTCCGTGTCCGTGTAAAGGACCGATTATAAGATCATAAGCTGTGCTTAAATCTATCTAAAATCATATCTTACTTGACCGATCCTTTCTTGCAGCAGAACGTGATCCCTCGCATCAGAAAGTGCTTCGATCGCACGTTTATGTCTACGACGTGAAAATATACGTGTGGACCTCTGACGTTCATTAAATCTCGGAAAAACCTCAGGTTCCAATCCTCTGAGTCGTCTAGAGCGTCGTGCCTTCATTTTTAATGATATTTTCAGGTTGAACTTGAGCCACAAAGGCTAAACCGCAGTGAACGCTGATTCAAAATATTTACAACTCCTTATGAGTAGACTGTATGCAGCCTTTGACCATATAAGGTAATTCTAAAGCAAATGACCTTTGAACAGGACGCCGTCAAACCAGTTTGGATCAGGTTTCTATCTTCTACAGACTGTGTACGTATCTCCCTACTTCCTTGGACTAAATAACGACTACCACAAAACTGCGCTTTTAAAATGTGATTCTTTATATATGACACTTCATCAATCAGATAACGTATTGATTTGCGCATGCACATTACGCCCAAGAGTGTATCATTACACCCACATGGCTGCGCACATTACTTAATAACTTAAATTGAACATTACTTCCGCTTTGCAGGCGGATTGCCCCCTTCGAGGGTGGATCCTCCACTGGCGTACGGGTCTTTCCCCACGTGGATGGATCCTCTCCCCGCGCGAAGGGATCCTTTTACCCCGTGCGGGCCGATGCGCCCCCCCCCCGTGCGGGGCGGAACTTTCGCTTTCCAGGCGGATTGCCCCATTCGAGGGTGGATCCTCCACGGACGGGGACGGGTCTTTCCCCACGTGGATGGATCCTCTCGCCGCGCGAAGGGATCCTTTACCCCCGTGCGGGCGGATCCGCCCCCGCGTAGGTCGATCCACCACCGTGCAGGCAGATCCTCCTTCGCGAAGGCGGATCCTCCCCCTGCGCGAGGGGGTTCTCCCCCGCGCGGGGATCCTTCCACCGCGCAGGATAATCCTCTTCCTCACGGGTTGATCCTCTTCCTCGTGGGTGAATCTTTCCCTTTGGAGGAGGGTGTTCCGCGCGGATGGGTTCCCCCACGGGTATTACCTCAGTACTTAACTATCTACAGAACTTTCCAAACACAGAAGTTGCGAAAAATAATAAAGTAACATAACAAACTTGTCGTCAAAATACTGACTTCACTTGGCTTTTTTCTACCCTGGGTATCAGTAGACCTTTGGCTCACGACTAGAAAAAGTTTTTTTTGTATTTAAGGTGAACAGCCAGGCTCCCGTGAGGGCGGTGCAATGCCTGCCGATCTACAGACCTAATCCAACCCATGGCTAAAAGTGCAATGCCTTAGGGTTGGGTCCACCAAAAACCGAGGGCCACCAGACACCAACTTCGTTGGGGAATCGAACCCCACCTCGCCAAAATTAACACACACACTCCAAAAATTGAACACACTCGCTCACAAACCACAGAGACACAAAACCAAACAGACACAACTGACACAAAGACCCCCGCACAGTACACCAGTTAAGGAGACCCGGCGCAAGAGGTCACACAACCAGAAACAGCACAGACCACCCAGACTAGGGCCATGCAGCACTAACACCTCCGTGCAGTAACCAATCAAGGAGACCCAGCACAGGAGAGCACAGAACAGAACAAACGGAACACAAAGAGACAGAACACGATGCCCAGATTAGGGCCATGGAGCGCGCGGGAAACCGGTTACAGGGCAAGGGAGAGATGACCTTCAGAGACGGTGGCGACGACTCCACGGGCACCCCACTGACGGTGGAAGAAGCGACGACAGCGAGCAGACTGAAACAGCTTGAAAAAAATGAGCAGGTGGAATCTCAAACGAGACTTTACCCGAGCAATCACCGCAGCAGTGCCAGGACGAACAGCACAGAAACGAAGGTCATTACGGGATTGCCAGATAAAATACTTACAAAGGTTCAACAAATACACAAAAATACGGGGGGTGACAACCAACTCGTCCGAGCTGAAGCCAAAAAGAACATGTCGACAAAGAAGAGCAGGGCACATGAAAGAAAAACTGAACATCAGCGACTGGAGCCAGGAGAGAACACTCTGAGCAAGGGGACAGAAAAAAAACAAATGCTCCAACGACTCCACAGGAGACCCACAAAAACAAGAAGGGGGAACTGACAATCCAAAAGAAACAAGACGCTGTGCGGTGTATAAGACGCCGTGCGCAATCTTCCAGCATAGATCAGTGACTTGACGGTCAAGATCAAAAAAGGTCAGCGAGCGCCACGTGGATGGCCAATCGAGCGAACCGTACATTGGGGAAAACTTTCCCACGCAATGCGGTGGAACCATGTTCTCAGACAGGAGATACAGATAGCAGCTTTTAGTGGACATGTCGGCCACAGGGCAGCAGACAAGAGGGCAGGATGAACCGAAAACGAGCGAATCACGAGACGGGGCAAAGGAACCATTGAGGCTTTGCCAAGCCAGAAGGAGAGAGGAATAGAAAGGTGGCAAAACCCTGGGGTCAAAAGAGAACGGCCTAAAGAAGACGACAGAGGGCAAAACACCAAAAGACGACACAAACCAGAAGGACATGAGTGAGGACCAACCAGCGGAGGAGGAGGCAAACCTCCTCACCCACTGGCCGAGAAGGGCCCACACCTTATACTGTACACTGACAACAGAGAAACCACCAAAAAGAGGGGACTGAATCACGACAGAGCGAGAGACGAGCTCCCGCTTGCCGGACCAGAAGAAATAGAAAGCCAAGGAAGAGAGCTCCTTTGCCACCCAGGCGGGCATGTGGACCAAAGAGGCCACATACCACACCCGAGAGAGGGCAAGAGCATTGATGACCAGGGCTTTGCCACGAAAAGACAAAGAACGAGAACGCCACGATTTGAGAACATGGTCCAACGCTTCAATACGGGGATGCCAGTTATCAACATCCAAATCCCCAGCACCAATGAAAACACCCAAAACCTTAATTTTCGAAGATGACCATTCGAGGGCGACCGGAGGGTCGGTGTGACCACGCCAGCCTCCCAGCCAAAGACCCTTGGACTTAGCCTGATTTAACTTGGACCTAGAGGCTCTTTCAAAAGAATAAATAGAATAAAATAGGTCTCAAAAACCGCTTTGATGGCGTCGTCAGAGGAACCAATAAGGGACGTTTCATCCGCATATTGCGAAATCGGAGAGAGAGGGGGAAAGCCGGAAATGTGCAGACCAGAAATGCGGTATTGCAGCGGATGTTGGCCGCAAGAACCTCAGATACGAGGACATACAAAAGGGGGTACAAGGGACAACCCTGTCTCACCCCCCGCGATAGATTGAAAAAGGCCGAGACATAGCCGTTAACATTAACACTGGACTGAACACGGTGATAGAAGAGATCCACCCAGGCGACAAAAGACGGACCAAAGCCCATTGCCACAAGAGTGGATCGCATGAAACCCCAGTCCACACGATTGATGTCCTTCTCTTGATCGAGGGAGAGAATGGCCACCGGGGCCCCAGAAGAGGAAGCAAACGTGACCACATCCCGCAGGAGGGCTACGTTCTCCCCGATGAAACGGCCAGGGACCCTGCAAGTCTGGTCCTCCGCCACCAAAAGATGAATGACTTTTAACAACCGACCAGCGATGGCTCTAGAAGCTAGCTAATAGTGAACATCGAGGAGGGTGATCGGCCGCCAGTTGCGAGGATCTAACCGATCACCCTTCTTAAAAGACAGGGAAATGACACCTCTGCGCTGAGAGAGAGAGACAGCCAGAATCGAGAGAGGAGTTGAGAACAGAGACAAGATCAGAACCCAGAACGGACCAAAACTTAAGATAGAACTCCATGGGAAGGCCATCCAGCCCAGTGGCCTTACGTCTGGCCATCCCACGGAGAGCAAGCAGAACCTCCTCCACAGAGAGGTGGCCCTCGCAAAGGGAGGACTGATCATCAGGGAGAGAGGATGGAAAATTCCCCAAGAGATCAGTCTGGATGCGAGGGTCAACCAGGGAGGCTGAGAAGAGACCAGAAAAGAAAGACGACAGAGAGGTACAAAGATCAAGAGGGGAGGAGACAATAGAGTCATCCTCGTCCCTCAGCGCAGAGATCCACCTATCAGAGCCACGCTTCCGTTGGAGGCGAAAAAAGTATGATGAGGAAGATTCCCCCTCTTCAACCCACCTTGCACGAGAACGAACTTGGGCTCCCTTGGCCACATGGGAGTGAAGAGCAGCCAATTCGGCCAGGGCCGAATGGTAAGGGCCGAGACAAGATGAGGAGCCCAGATCAACTTTGGCTTTAAGGTGATCGATCAACCGGACCAGAAGGTCCCGGAGACGTGACCGAGCACCAGCCTTCCGACAACAATAACGAATTGTACGTCCTTTGATAAAACTCTTCCCCCCATCCCACCACTTCGCCAAGGAGGGAAAGCGGGAGATAGAGTTCCGCCACAACCGCCACGCGTCCGATATTAACTCCACATACTCAGGGTCATCAAGGACGGAGATGTTCAGCTTCCAGATACCTGGACCAGGAGGAACAGCGTCCGGGATGGAACAAGAAAGAAAGACACCACAGTGATCAGAGAAGGGACAGGGGACGAAAGAACAAGAAGAAACAGAGGGCACCCACGAAAATGGAACACCAAAAAGGTCGATACGAGAGGCCAGACTGCCATCCCACCTGGTCCAGGGAAAACCAACAGAAGAGGGGTGGAGATACCTCCATATGTCCACCACACAACAGTCATCAAAAAGATACTTAAGGGAGGAAGAGCTATCACGGGGGGAGACGGGGGGAGCAGAGCCAGCCCGATCAAGGGAGCGATCAAAGACCTCGTTAAAATCACCACAGAGAATCGTAGGGATCGAGGGATTGATCTTGGAGTGGAGGTCCCGCGCAGGGTTGCGGTTAGGTGCATACACACAACAAACCCGAAAAGAACTACCCAAGAAAGAAAATTCCACCTGCAGATAACGACCGGAAACATCACACCAAGAGTTAACCAGAGACAACGAAGGACGAAACAAAACAATGCAACCACACGAATGAGACGACCCAGGGGAGGCGACAGCAGAAAAACCGGAAGAGAGAAGCCACGAAGAACACTCTGAAGATGACAGACAGTGGGTCTCCTGAAGGCAGACAACGTCAGCCCCCACAGGGAGAGACCGCAGCCACTGCACAAGGCCAACCCTTTTGGACCGATCCCTGATCCCATTGCAATTCAAAGTCAAGATGGACAACATGAGGAAAATAATAAAGCAGGCCATGACGCTATCAA